AAAAAAAATATGTCAGAACAGATTTTTTACGCCCTTTCGATCAAAAGTGAAAATATCAAAGTACTAAAGAATAGCCGCACAAGGAGGATCACATGTGGATATACCATATTTGACAACTTACATAGCATCTCACCGTGGCCGTTGGAGAGCGCATTTCGAACTCGGCCGACAGCTACAGACATTTCCTGAGCTAAATGAGATTCTGAAAAGTAAAAACAGCAAGTTTACTGTTTTGAGAACCCAAAAAATAATGCAGGCTTTCAAGAGGATGCTTCTTGCCTTCTACTTTTTCGTCTATGATATCACCACCGGCGAGTTTTGTTAGTAATGAGTTGATTAGATATATTCTGTTTATCGCGCTGAGATAAACCAAGTTCAACATCACAGCTCTAAATAAAAGTTTGCTTCACTTTGATTCTGCAACAGCCATATGCTATACAAGGCCTTTTTCTTCAAACTACATTTTCCTTTGTGATTTTCGCTGGTTATTTGCATTTTTTGAGAGTGACTTCGACTATCAGTGCACTGAATATTATTTGATACCCATAGACGTTTGTCTACCAGGCGAAAGCATTTCAATATTCCGTGTAAGAAAAACTTTATTGCAAAAAAAGTAAAAGAGCAAAACAGTCTTGGAATTGCGATCTTTTTGCGCTAAATACGAGCAATCTTATAATGTAGATTTCCATCTCCTTTGCGCCTTCGTTTACTTCCAACGGAGAATAGCAACTGATGTCCATTTGGTCGAGTGCGATGCGGCGCGCTTACGGAATGAACGACCGGGAGTTCGACTCCGCCGTTGATGATACCTCATGCACCACTCTGAAGTATAGTGTGGAGAGCTAAAACTATTATAGAGGCTGAGGTTACGGTCGTTTTGACAAAGAAATGATTTGAAAGTTAAGCTGAACCACCATTAAAATGCCGATGTAATAATGAAGGACTTTCAGCACAAGAATTCATAAATGCTATTTTCACGGTCCGCTTGGATATGTTGGCACTGCCAAAGCACGCTCAATGATATGTACACTCTTATTCCAAGATATTCTTCAATATTCTTCCGCATTCTCCCTCCTTGTGTGTCGAAAAGCAGCGACCATAGTGACCATTAGCGAGTCAGACGCTGAAACAGGCACTTCTAGCATTTGCCACCTACCGAATGGCGGATCAGACAAACGATGGTCTTCGCAAAAGAAAGGATAGTTTGTTGGTGAGTTTATTGACATTGTTCTCAGAACAAAATTTGAATGGAATCCACGTAAAGATAGTCTAGGGAAAATTCTGCGAGTGGTTGTACCATTATTCTCTCGCCCATAGTCTAGTTCTTTTCAGTTCTCTAGTCCATAGTCCAGCCTGGCAGGCGATAGAATTGAGATGTTAAATTTGTATTTCTCGTGTTGACTTTTCATTCTCCTCTATATTACCTATTCAAGAACTCTAATTGTTTTCATGACTATGACTCTGACGACTCCACCGCGACTAAGAAAGAGATGGACAAGATCGTAGAAGATATGGAAAAAGAAGAAGAGAAGAATAAAGAGCCAGATACTAAATGGAGGTGAGTAACAACTTCATTTCTCTATAGCACCTGGAGACTAAATATATGACAGTCTTCAAGGGTCTTAAACATTTGCACAAATCGCTATACTTGTTCATCGTTGTAAAAACTAAAAAGTGGAAAAAGCGATCATCGACAATTAATTGGCTCTAAGAGCAATACGTCTAGTTTTCTAACCAGTAATTTTGTAGCAAAATTGCAGAGTGAGAGTAGCAAATTCGAACATTTTCTTCTCAAGTCCAAAGCTTTTGCGCTTCGAAATGAGACCTAAAGTGTTACTTTCTCAACTTTTTCGAGTTGAATCTGATATTTCGAAACTGGCCACTCATAGGGGTATGGATTTAGATCATATACAAGGTGCGTAAGGAAGTCTGCGAGCCTATACTCTTGTCATAAAATAACAAGGAAATCAT